CACATACAAAAAAGAAAACACACACTAACACACACACGCACGCACACACGCACGCACGCACGCACACACGCACACACACTCACACACACACATACGCACACTCACTCACACACACTCACACACACAATTACACACACAGACACACACCCACACACACACACACACATATACACATACCCGCACACACACACACACTCACACACACACACACATACACAGACCCGCACACACACACACACAAACACAATATACGCACACTTTCACTGACCGGCCGGAAGACCTTCTGGCAGGGACATACAAATAAAACACGACAGTCTTGTACGCACGATTTCCGAGACCGGCTACAAATAAGAAAAGCCAATGAGTGTACACAATATTTATTTGAATCTAGTGTTGCTGACCTCTCGCCCGGTTACAAAAACAGTAATAAACGTCGATAGGGAGGAGCAGATTTCTATGGTAGGCCAACTTGGCAGCTCTTTCAATTAATTGACACAGTAACTCCTGATGTCATGCAAATGATCAATTTCTATTCATTTTTAACCTAAGACCCTCCAACTACCACACCAACCGAAAGAATAACCATATAAAACATACCAAAAGCTCAGCTCAATATTATAATAAATTGTACACTTCGGAAATAATCTCAGGGTGTTTAGAATAACTTAAAATCCGTTATTTCGTACAGCAAAGTACAGTTTGATACGGGCTGAGTTTTGGTACATTGAACCCTTAGCTAGAAGTTGGTAAGGAGCAACCAGTTCTTTTGTCTTTTAAAACTAGGATTATCACCCCCCCAACCCCCCCCCAACAAAAAACAAACAAAAAACAAAAAGAAAAAAGAACAACTCTGAAATAAGCCATTTTGATTTAAATATTCGAACAAAAAATAGGGAAAAGTGCAGGGGTGGGGGTGGGGGTGAGAAGGGGGTGGGGCTGTGTATGATTATTCAGTTGGAGGAACACGAAAACGTTTAAAAAAAGAATATTTCAACAGAAAACATGTTTCATGATTACTGCTCCACAAATATTCCATAATACGTAAAGATGTTTGCAAATGTCACAGAAAAAATAATCTATTCAGAACAACCTATGTACCAGGATGCAGGATAATATAGATCTACATCTCATAATGTTCGTCAGTCGAAATATCGACCGATCACAATGACCGAAATGTAGAAAAAGCAGCATTTACAAAACACACACACACATACACACATACACATAGACACACAGACACACACACACACACACACACACACACACACACACACACACACACACACATACACACACCACTTGCAGCCTCCGACTATCACTAAACTAGGACTCCTTAATCAAAAGAAGGATTAAAACCAGTCTGAAGAAATTCATTCAATATGTGACAGAAAATGGATGACAAATCGGTAACTAGAATGATCTAACTATTCATTGTTTGCATATATTGACCTTTGTGTCAGCCTGTTTCAGATATCAACGAAAATTGCTTCGTGGGCACACCTCATGTCACAAGGCACACGTCTGGGCGACAATTTAATCTTTGTGTATTTGTTTTACGCCACCATAAAAACATTTAAGATAATTTAGGATGCCCACATATCGGCTTTCATTTAATTGTGCATGCTTTATACCTTCATTGACACAACTAAGATTACCTAACTGTAAAAGAAAACTACAGGGGACCATTAATTTCATGTGTCACGTTTTTATACCAACTAAAAATTAAGATCCAGAGATATTCTGCTTCTTTAACTTTAACGAGTAGACTTCTTTAGAATTGTTGTGTTTTACATTACATTTGTTAAATCATTCATTTAGGGATTATCTTAAACAGTGTCCATCTTTTCAGGTCACCATTGGTGTAGTACCGTGGGGACTTGACAAAAAGAACTATGGTTTGGACATCGCTAGTTTTCCCCCTGTATACTTCAAATGTGTTAAGTCCCTATCGACACAACCTCGATTATTTCAGGGACCACACATCTTGCTTCCTTAGAATTACGAAGTTCTATCTGATCAATACCTACGAGTAGTTTTGAGAAATTTGACGCAAAAAATAATAATTGAGTGTCACAACATGGCAAGCTTTTTAGAATGCAATTCTTTGAATATCTCGATAACGACTTCGAATAATCTTACGATTTTGAAAGAGCAGATAAAACAATTTGTTTCTAACCTAATGGTTTTGGGAACTCAAAACGGCCAAAAATGTCAGATAGAACTTTGTAATTTTAAGGTAGCGATCTAGGCGGCTCGGACGGAGTCGCAGACAACCAGAGAGTCCATGAGGGAGCCAATGAGCAGAGAGTTTTCGTAGACAGAGCCAACGGTAGAGGCCTTAATGAGGTCACCGTGGTCATAGAACAGCTCTGAGGCCTGGTCCATTTGGATCTCCCCGGTCTTCAGATTCAACGGCAGTTGCAGCACCTGAGGAGGGAAATGGTGATATATTATTCAGACTGTTGATTGGTAGGAAATAATTTCATGCTTCTTTCAATACAATTTAGGTTTCGATTATCTTGGATATGGAATGCTTTGACCTTGACTTACACAGTAGACTAACGGAATACTCGGTAAAATAGAATTCCTTGTAAGGGTATTGCTCTCAGGTCTTTTGCGTGCAACAGTGAAGAGACTAGCCATTACGCCACAGTTGTCCGTAGGGTTAGATGATTTCACAGAGAGAGAGAGAGAGAGAGAGAGAGAGAGAGAGAGAGAGAGAGAGAGAGAGAGAGAGAGAG